GGCTCTGGTGGCATTTAAATACAATAAATGTTCGCTCATTGGGGTCCCTGCCTTGAGTTTGGTTGAATAGAACTCCCTGGAGAGTCTGGTGGTGCTTGCTACACTTTGACAGGAAAACAGTTTGTGCATTCTCTGTATTATCTCTGCAGCCGTTAGGTGGTGGCTAATGCTAGGGTAAATGCTGGGGGTGATACTAGCAATAACTATATAATAAGCCTTATGATGAGTACAATCTAATTCAAAAGTCCAAGGTTATTCTGGGGGGTCAGTGACTAGGGACAACAGGTCTTCCCTCAGCAGAGTGACTTGGAGCTGTTGGTTCCATTCCAAAAAATTCTCCCCATCTAGTCTCAGTTTGGGAAAGTCATTTGGTAAAGTCCCTGAATTGTAAGTTAAATTACTTACATTGTGTCGCTGTCCATGGTTTCGCACGTATGGATACTCGCAATAAGGCAGAGGGATGACTGTGGCAAGTCTGTACTGATTTGCTTCTATGTGTCTGCATCAGTCTATCTCTATGTTCTGCTCCATTTCTCTTGCAGGGAGGCACTGCGCATGCCTGAAGTTCATTCCAGCCCAGCCGCCATGGTGTGAGGAGCTCGTCTCTGCAGCTCCCGGTTGAAGGCCCCAATCTTCTGGATGGGCCTTTGGTTCCTCCTTGGCCGGCCTCGCTTGGTCGAAGTTGCTTCGGATCACCGTCTGGATCCCCGAGAAGCAGTGCGGATCATCGATGAAGGTCGGGAGTCCCGCTGGGGCCACGAATGGTCCCAGATGGCCCGGCCTTGCTTGGATGCTGCCTCCTGGTGTCGGGCCGAGTCCCCTGCCCGCCGATGGTCGTACCCTGCCTGCCGATGGTACCACGGATTCTGGATCTGGTCCCGGTCGCCGGTCGGGTGAGTAGTCCCATCGCCCCCAGTGTTCTGTCCCCGGCTCCATCGTCCCCATGGGTGGACCTCCTGGGAGTCGTGGGTAGTGTTGGGCCTGCGCGGTGGCGATCGGTCCCTTTGGGTGGGCATTGGTGCTGGCTCCCCTCGTGTCGGTGTTCCCTCTGTGTTTCCATCCGGCGCCGGGGTATGTGTCCGGCAGCCTCATATTGTCCCCTAGGGCTGCGGTGATCAATTCTATTGCCCCGTCGACCTCGGGCTCGGTAGGCGAGTTCATGGGCTTTGGCTTAGTGTTTTTTTGCTTGTTGCGGTGGTCTTGCGTGGTCACCCTCGAGTAGGCCCTGATTCCCGCCATGCGATTTGAATCTCGGGAATCTATTAGTAGTTGGTTGGCCATCTTTGGTGATGTCACCACCCAAGATGGCCACCGCAAAAAGGGCGTGAATTATTTTTTGGCCTTTTCGGTGGGCTTCTGGTGGGGACAGTTTTCTCTTACCGCGTCTTCGTCGCTGTAGTCAGACTCGTCTTCATCTTCCTCACTTGCTGCTTCACAGCCTTTGACCAGGCTTCGGAGTTCCGCGATGAGGTTGGTGTTGCTTTGTGCCGAGTCTATTAGTTTCAGGAGTCTTCCCTTTAGGTCGTGTTTCTCGCTCGTTGGGCTTTCGGGTTCCTTCCACCCCTCGTCGTGTCTGGTTGGGGTGCATGGGTAGGCCGCTCACCTCGGGTGCCTCTCCTTGCGTGGCTTCAGGTTGGGCAGGCCGTTCTGCCATCTTCTTGGTGAATGCCCTGGTATTCACACTGTTCGTCGTGGTTCTTTGCATGGAGTCCCCTGGCATGTCCTGGAGTATTAGGATTGGGCTATTGAACCATCCTCTGCTACCAATTTGTTAATGATGTCCAAGGATCGAGCCCAATAACTCCATCACACAGGTATTCCTTAAATCAGTAGCCTTTATTAACATAGTATCTTATCATTGCAGATACAAGTCTGGAACTGAACCAGGACCACATGGCTGGACCTTAAGTACCCCCGGGGCGTGGCTAAGTTAAGGAGGGGTCAATGGGTTAGGGTGGACCCTGGGGATTGGCCTGTCCAGCTCCCCCGCCACCAGCCCTGGGTCTGAGGCCAGGCATTTATCTCTGACAAATACCTGACTCCATTGTGAACCATCTCAGAATGCCTTTTCACTGCAGCAATTCTTTGCATCTTGATTGTTCACCACAGCTTATAGGCAGGGTGTATGTAAACAAAGAATTTGTTGACTCTCTGGGTAAGTATATGTTCTATTTCTTCTTCTCATCCCTCACTTTTATGATCCTTTTTCAAACCAATTGTATCACGGATAGGGAGGAGGGGAAAAACTTCTGTAATATATACTGGAATGCTGTCACTTTTCTATAGCAGTTCTTTTGAATCTGAATAAAACATCAGTGGGACGGATGTTTAATTCTTACACTTAAGTCTGTTGCTGTGCCAGGTAAATACATTTTATATTTTTTTTATTTTCACATTTATTAAATTTGTTTTCTGGTCTTCTTGCTGCAATCTTCCTTCAGTTGGCAGGACCGCCACCATAGGTGTCCCAGGCAAATGTTGAACAGCCATATTTAGTTTGGGTCTAAGACTAGGTTGACTCTATAATTAAGGCTGAGTATTGAGGGGCACGGTGGCCTAGTGATGAAGATGCTGACCTCAAACTCAGAAGGTTGAGAGTTCAATTCCATTCTCTCCTTCTAGATTTCAGTTAAGCTTCTGTGTCCTACAGGACTCTTCATAACTCTAGAATATGTTTGTCTGAGAACGAAAAGAAAAAAAATCTACTGTCAACTTGGCCTGGGGTCAGGAAGGGTATCCAGCCAGTAAATATTCAGCTCCACCTAGTCACCCCAACTCTACCCCAAATTAAGGAATTTAAAAATAGATTTTAAGTAACTAGGTCAGCAGGGGCATGGACTTGTATTTCACTTTGAAATCATTTTTAAATTTCTATAGCATTCAAGGCAACTGGGTGCAACACTTCAGAACCAACAAAAGTTATTGAATAACTGTATTGGAAGGGACTTTCAAGGTCTTCTAGTCCAACCCTGTTCAAGCAAGAGACCGAATGCCATTCCAGACAAATGGCTGTCCAAACTCTTCTTAAAAACTTCCATTGGTGGAGGAGCCCAAAACATCTGGAGCCAAATGGTTCCACTGGTTAATTGTTCTCATTCTCAAGAAACGTCTCCTTCATTCCAGGTTGGATATCTTTTTGATAAATTCCATCCATTACTGCTCTCTATCCTGCTCTCAGGTGTTTTGGAGTTTGGTTGACACCCCCCCCCCTTTTTCTGTGATAGCCCCTCAAATATTGGAAGTCTACTACCATGTCACCTCTAGTCCTTCTATTCATTAGACTGGCCATGCCCAGTTTCTGCAAACATTCATTGTATGTTTAGTCTCCAGCCGCCTAATGATCTTTGTTCTTCTTCTCTGCACCCTTCCTAAAGTCTCAACATCTTTTTTCTATCATGTTAACTAAAACTGGATACAGTGTTCCAGGTGTTTTTTTAGCAAAGCCGTATAAAGCTGCACTAACACTTCACATGTCCTTGATACAATCCCTCTGTTGAAGCAACTTAAAATGGAATCAGCCTTTTTGGCAGCTGTCACAGGCTGCTGGTTCATATGCAAGTGACTGTCCACTAGGAGTCCTAGATCCCTCTCACAGTTACTGCTATTGAGCCACGTATCACCTATTTTATACCTCTGCAATTGGCTTTCCTTGCCTAAGTGTAAAACCATATTTTTCTCATCACAGAAGAAAAGAAAAGTTTAATGCTTTCTAATAAGAAGTATGACCCCATGGAATCCTTTGTGGCTGAAGCAGCAAAAAACATCTAATATACCTAATACTCAAAGAATACACAGCTTGTAGAACTCAGCTCTCTTTCTTGATTTCATTTAAGCTTCTGTGTCCTGCACGACTCCTCATAACTCTAACTTGTGCTTCTGGGTGCCACAAATACCCACCAAGAAGCAGATCCAGCTGTTTTACCATGTCTCCCATGACTGCAGTAGCAATACCAGATTTCTAATATTTGGTTCTAAGGGATCTTCCCAGCCATTAGTGAATACGACTGAGCATTATCTTTTTTGCCTGACCTTGGGAAGTATTTCAATAAGAACTTTTATTTTTCCCATTGGGACGTGGCAAGTTCTGAGGCTCCAATCTTTTACAGCCATAGCAGGTTAGTTGTTAAACACACTCCCCTGCTCTTCCAAGGCCTTTTGCAACAGCAAAGCCACAGGAACGTTTCAATATAAGGAAGATGCAGCAATGCCTTATGTAAGAACAGTAAAAATAATACCTAAGAATGTTTGCAATATTTCACTGACATGACATGATGCAATCATCAACACGCTATAAATAGAGAACTGTGTTCTGTCCCAGGAGTGAGATTTGGTCCAGAACCAAACCCAGCATGAAGATCCTTAATTTGCTGTTTGCAATCCTTTTTGTTGCATTCCTGTATGAACCAGGTAAGATACAAAATTACTCATAATTTAGAGAGATTGATAACTCACTACTTTCTATGTAAGTATGATCATCACTGAAAGCAGGATAATCTTCAACATATTCTTTTTGTTTTACTTTTAAGAAATAGATTGACCAATATGGGGTATTGAAAACATGAGCCTCCAAATATTTGAAAAATATGCCATTAATTTTTCTTTTGCATTAAAACTCGAGATCCTATAAATTATCAGGCATCAAGGAGGGTCTGCAAAATTAATTCATTGATTCACTATATAATGGAGTGAAATACAGGATATCACAGATATCTTTCCCTTGGTATGAAGCAGATTTTTTTCCCCATACTACCTTTATACTGTAGATACAGATACCAGGCAAATCAAAACTAAGGAACACTTCAAACCTGGGTTCATATTGGATTTATTTGGGTTACTATAGGGAGATGAGCAGAAATGGATTTTACGATTTAAAGGGAACTCATAGGAATCTGGCAATTCTGCAGAAGAAGGTGGTGGAAGAAAAAAGCATCTAAATAGCAAGGTATCTTTATCCATCATTTACATTTCTCCTCTTTTTTATCATAGGGATTGCCGCCAACGCTGTCGTGCAGGACCAAAAATAGGATTTTGTGTTTCCCATTACCGTCAGGGCTGTAATAGGGATGCTGCTTGTGTACGAAACCCATGGTGCTGTCCAATGTGAGAAAAATTTCCTCTAATATTCTGTGTGATATTATGTGCATTCATAAAGAATTGCAAAGCATTGATGTGAAAAGGAAAAGGGTTTTGAGGAAAATACCATTTATTTATTTATTTATTTTATTATATTTGTAAACCGCCCTTCTCCCAAAGGACTCAGGGTGGTGAACAGCCATAGTAAAAACAATATATAAGACAAAAATTTAAAAAACGTATTAAAATAATTCAATCCTTGGCCGAATTTAAAATTCCCAACTAAAACCATTTTAAAACCACTTTTAAAAACCCAATTAAAATCGTTTACCCCATCAGACCGGCTTGCTGGAATAATAGGGTCTTCAGAGCACGATGGAAGGCACGGAGGTCGGGGATCCTTTGTATGTCCGGGGGCAATTCGTTCCATAGGGCAGGAGCCCCCTCAGAGAAGGCTCTCCCCCTGGGGGTCACCAGTCGACATTGTTTGGCCAACAGCATCGTGAGGAGGCTCTCTCTGTGGGAGTGTGTCAGTCGGTGGGAAGCAATCGGTGGCAAAATGCAGTCCTGTAGATATATAAAAATAAGGGCAGAAGAGAATAATTTTGTGATTCAGGTGACAGAAAATACCTTAAATCCACTTTGAACAACTATTATTTTATCTCATTTGTAGAAACCCATGGATATCTTGAAGATCAGGCCAATGACCCAACATCACTGCCTGCTACTGCTTTATCTTTCTTTATATAAATAAAAATGCTATCTAGCAAACTCTAAAACATTTATGCTTTTAAGAAAAAAATGGCAAATATTGCTTGAAATAAAGCTATATGAGCATTGCAGACATTGTGCAATTTCTTTAAGAGGGATTGGGGGCAGAAGATTCAAATGACTATGAGAGAGAGAGAGAGAGAGAGACAACGAGACCTACATTTCTTTACCTACACTTTCAGTGTAGAAGGTGTTCCCCTTTCTTCAACAATACATTATTAAACATTAAGTTTCTTTCCAGAGCTGCCTGTTTTATTATTTTCAGTCTCACTAAAATTCAGTGTATCTGTTGTGAATTCACTTCTGTTTTAGATGTTCATCTTTCATGAGGGCCTGTGGAAAGGCTGGCAGGGGCGGGAACTATCTGTAGTCCACCAAAATTGGCTCCCCCTGTCAAGGCAAAGGGTCCTTTCTATCACAGGCAGGGAGGAGAAAGGAAGTTGGATACACTAATACATCCTGAAGTCTTCTCCTATCTCTTCTAGCATTTCTCATTCTGCTGAATAAAGGAGTCCATGGAAAGCGCAAGAAATTCCTATACCTATTTCCAGTGGTGGGATTCAATCTTTTTAACAACTGGTTCTGTGGGCGTGGCTTAGTTGGGGGTGTGGCTTGGTGGTCATGTGACCGGGTGGGCGTGGCTATGTGCATAGGGACTACTCAGAGGACTGAAAAAAGTCATTTCTGACTGATCCTCGCACTTTTGACTGGTCCTCGCACTTATGACCATCCTCACATTTATGCCCGTTGCAGCATTCTTAACAACCATGTCAGTCATTTCACCACTACTTCTCTTCACCACGGTGACAAGATAGGACGCAAAATGTAAAATGTGTGGACAGTCGTAAGTTCAAGGATTGGTCAAAAGTGCGAGGACCAGTCAAAAATAACTTTTTCAGCCCTCTGAGTAGTGCTTATGCACAAAGCATTTAAAAGCAGCATCAGACTATTTTGACAGAAATTATTTCTCCAATTACGAAAAATATCTCGTTTTATAGCAGAAGGGAATACCCGAGTCTCATGAGAGACTTCATCCCAAGGGCTTTTTCCACACTGGGCAGAAACAGCACCCAGGAAGTCTCCTGAATTATGGAAAAGGACTTAAGAAAAAGCCACAAAACCAACAACACCTTCTGCCATTTCCAATGGGAAGGGCACTTAAAAGCAGCATTAGAGTATTTTGACAGAAATGATTTCTCCAATTAAGAAAAATATTCTTTTTATAGCAGAAGGGAATACCCGAGACAGACTTTTCTTACTAAAGCGACTCTCTAATCTGGTACTGCCACTTGGGGTAAATGCTGATTGATGGTTAGCTGTTTGTTTCCACCTGCTTCTCCAGATTGTGTTCTCTGCTGTTCTTCCAATGCAACTGTTAGCCAGTAGCCTAGGACTACCCCTTTTCGGTCCAGATATTTCTACTTTCCTAAATTTTCTTTGTCCTTTGGAAATAAATGTCAGGTTTGAAGGAGCACAGAGGGACCCATCAATCTGATAAACAGAAAGAATAAAGTGCAGTTATACAATGAGTTTATTAGAGCGGTTGCATCGGAGGCCAATCAGCAGGACTGAGCAATACTTCCAAAACCATTATGCAATTCAGGACTTCAAGACACCAAAATTCAGTTTTTTCTCTTCCCATCTATCCAAGCCAAAAGACTAATTCAAGAAATAAATAAAATAGATTGTAAGAGGATTGATCTTTGTTCTGCCTACAGCAGGAACCATTGGTGCCTCCTCACCACCTTATTCATCTGCAGGAAGTAGAATCCAGATGAAGCAAGGGGCAGAGTATTGACAGCTTTCAACTTTGGTGTTGTATATTTTGAGCATACCAGGGAAAATATATCTACAGCAGAGGTGTTATTCAGCAGGTTCTGACCAGTTCTGGAGAACCGGTAGGGGAAATTTTGAATAGTTCGGAGAACCGGTAAATGCCACCTCTGACTGGTGCCACCCCCATCTATTCCCTGCCTCCAGAGTCCCAGCTGATTGGGAGGAAATGGGGATTTTACAGTATCCTGCCCCTGCCACACCCACCAAGCCACACCCACAGAACCAGTAGTAAAAAAAATTGAATCCCACCACTGATCTACAGCATGTGTGGACACTGATTTGATTACACATAATTACTCAGTCAGGATGATCAGGATATGAAGGTCCTGCCTGCAGCCAAGAAAGCTAGTAAAGCTATTAACTGGTGCCCTACGATCATCCTTTCATTGGTAACAATATTTCTACTCTCCTAAAGTTCCTTTGTCAATTGGAAATAGATATCAGGTTTGGAGGCGGCAGAGAGAGACCCATCAATTTGTTGAATAGAAAGAATTTACTCTTGCAATTAAACAATAAGCTTATTAGAGTGGTTGCATCAGAGGTTGATCAGCAAGTCTGAGCAATGTTTCCAAAATTAAACTTTGATTTTGGGTTTCACTGATCAGAAACATTTGTTGTTATAAAAATGACTAGAATCTATTATTATATAAAAGAAAAAGATTGAGGTGCCAGCTGCAACAAACAGGGATTCAGTTACATTACTGATGATGCACCATTGGTAGAGCTGAAGAACTAAGTTAGGCAAAAATTGTTATGGAGAAAATCTATCTATGTGGATGATGTGTGGAAGCCATGGATTAAAATTTGGAGGCTATGGCTATTTATGGTATGATAAGGTTAAAGGAAATGTTGATTTTAATAATCACTTTATTAGACGTGCCATCCTAAGAGTTTGGAATAAGTATAAAATAAAGTTCTCTGCGAAGATGCCTCTTTGGGTGTCATCCCAGAATACTTATTTTTAGAAAAGTAATGGTGGCGAGGCCAGACTGGTGGACTTATGGTCAAATAATATATTTCAATTATGATGGTCCTATCCTCAAATCGAAAGAGGAGTTGGAATCAGAAGGATGTGTTTGCCATTGGTTTACATATTTACAATTGAAAGAAAGATTTAAGTTAGATTTCAAAAAAGCTATGGACTTGATTTTATAAAAAATGAATTGGAAATTGTTCTGTTCTGTTCTGGAAATTGTCCTATTTCCTGATTGGTTGAAGAGTTTGACAGCCGGGTATAAATAGCCAGCTGGCACAAACTTAGTTGTTGACAGCTGAGCGGGAATTCTGTTAGCTACCGCTCCAACAACCATTGTTAGCCACCTTGTTAGAATAAACTTACTGTTAGCCTTGTTATCTCCATCTCGCCTCCATTCTTGCCCATCGTTCGCTGAACACAGCAGAAATCCTCTTCTGTGGTAATGAGGAACATATTATTGCAGAGGTTTATAGATTGTTATTGAAATTAAATTCAGAGAATGAGTATATAAAGCATTGTATGAATCAGTGGGCAAAAAACTTTGGATATAATATAATCTTAGAACAATGAAAGCATATTAGGCAAAAAGGTCTAAAATTCACATTAAATTATAATTTAAAAGAATTTTTTTACAAGATGATGTACCATTGATATTTAACACCAGACAAATTGTCAGGATAAATAAAGATATCTCACTTCCAACGGAACTTCCGTTGGCAAGGAAATTTTTAACTCTCCACAATTCAAGGTTTAGAGTATTTTCTAAGACAGAAGAAACCCACCCCCACCCCCAAGATAGGGGGAGGCTTCAGAAATTGATCCCTTTGTTTCCCTGGGAAGCCGGGCGCTCTCAGACTGCTTCTTGAAGAAAAAGAAGTAATTGATGGGATTCAAAATTCTTTTGTACTGATTCAGTGGGCGTGGCTTGGTGGGCATGGCATGGCTTGGTGGGAGCCATGCCATGGCTTCCCTTGGTGGGAAAATCACCATTTCCTCCCGATCAGCTGGTACTTAGGAGGCAGAGAATAGATGGGAGCGGGCCAGTCAGAGATGGTATTTACCGCTTCTCCCAACTACTCAAAATTTCCGCTACCAGTTCTCCAGAACTCTTCAGAACCTGCTGAATACCACCTCTGGGGAGAGTCCCTGGCTGGGGTGAGGCAACCAAGCAAGGTCTTTTCAGATAATAGTGCTAATTCACCACAAGAGAGAGCCAAAAGTCTGTAATATTTCTGATTCTCCTCAAGAATACTTTGTTTTATTAAATCCAGTGAAATACAGTTTCAAGCCTATACATTTGTAACTTATAATTTTAAATTTTAAGTTTTTTAATGTTTTCAATTTTAAACCCAAAAAGATGACCACAAGGAAGAAGATGACAGAGAAATTGCAAAAGACACCGATGGATCCTAAAATTTTACACCGTATTAAATTGTTACGGCAACAATTATCTATGTTAACTGTACAGGAAATAGACACAAAATTGAACTACGCAAAACAAAGACATTTTGAATTTGCAAAAAACCCAGACAGATGGTTGGCATATAAATTAAGAAAAGAAAGAGAAAAGACAATGACCAGGAAAATCTGTGAAGGCAATAATGTAATAACAGACAATGAACTTATTAAAAAGTCCTTTCATAATTTTTATTCAAATTTGTATAAAAGACAGGAGATTGATATATTAAAAATAGATGAATACCTTTTAAGAGAACAGTTACCTAAACTATCACAAACCCAGAGACAACTTATGAACGATCCGATAACTGCCATTGAGATATCAGAAGTTATTTTTAAAAAATGAGACCAGGCAAAGCTCCAGGCCCAGATGGTCTCAAAAGCCAATACTATAAGTGCTTCGAGGATGAACTTCTTCAATCATTAAAGGACACAATAAATGATATTCTACAGGGGGAAATATACCTCAGATGTGGAAAGAAGCCAATACTGTGTTGCTCCTAAACGAGGATAAATATGTTACAAAGACAAAGAATTATAGACCAATTTCACTATTAAATAAAGATTACAAAATGGCGGAAAAACTAAAAAAGATTTTACAGATATATATATATAGATATATATACTTGAAGACCAAGCAGGCTTTTTGCTGAAAAGACAGCTAAGAGATAATGTGAGGACTGTCTTAAATATTATTGAATACTTACAATATCATAATGAGAAACAGGCTGTCTTAATATTTTTAGATGTAGACAAGGCCATCGACCACCTAAACTTCATGTTTAATGTGCTGGAAGAGAT